TGTAATGTCCCATAATGCTACAACTTTCCCCTCCTTTTTTTTTCCTCTCCACAGTTTCTAGACAAATCAAAATGTTAAATTCAAAGTGTTGAGCTGTGGAGGTGCCGGTATGCAGGTGTCTTTTACCTTTAAAGTGAACCAGGTTAACTGTTACCACACACATGTGAGAGTGGTAGCAAACTTCTCATCTAACTCTTGGCATGAAAGTGAAAAAGCACATTGCAAAAATATCTATTCTTTTAATAGCCTCATATTGTGTTTCCACATATTGTAATTTTACTGCTGCTACTTCTCCTTACTTTATATATATAAATATATATATATCTGGCATCTGCTTGCATGTCTGTCAGTCCTGCCCTCCTCTGTTTCTCCTCCAGAGATTTCTCTCTTTTCCCCCTCATTCAGCATCTTTTTTTTTTTTTATTGTGGGGGGTTTTTCCTTATTTAAATTGATGGTCAAATTGATGGATCTAATTCTGGCCACTGGAAAAGGTTGTTAAAGGTTATTAAAGTCACCCACCCAAAGCGGAGGAGAAAGGAAATGAGAGAATAAGAACAAGGTGGGCGAGGAGAGGAATTAAAAACCTGCATTGTATCAGCAATGAACAGAACTAAAAGAATAAATGGACCCAATCTGGCTGCACTTGGTGCTAGAATGGCTGCCCATCCAAAACCCATGCCCAATCCACCATGTCACTTTTGTCCGTCTCCAAACCCTGCGGATGCCCTGCTTTTATAGCAGATGCACAGAACCAAAGGATGTGAGGCATGAAAGCAATGGGAAATTCATTACATATTCCTACCCCCCTCCGCTCACCATAATCACCACAATTAGCAGACATCTGCAGTGATTCCAAAGCTGGGAGTGTATTCAGGCAATCAGAGCAGCTTCACCGACAGCACTGACTGCAGCCCCCTCTGTGATGGGCCTCATCCTGAAGGGAAGCATTCCATTAGAAACTCAGTGATTAATTGAGACGGAGAATTCGCTTCTGGCATCGCGCAAGAATGAAACCCAACAGGAGGCATCCATGGTGGCAGAGTCGTACGCGGGGTTTAGAGGAGGTGGGCCAGAGTTGGCGGGGACCGTACCGTACTGTTGATGGTGCGAGATAAGGCGCTCACACTGCGGCTCGCAATTAGCTGCGTGAGAATAGTTGCTAGACAATAGCTATAGGAAGATTTTCTGACCCATCAAGTAAACAAAACCTGTGTGTGTCTAATGATAATCCAGATTTTATAGCTACTTACGGATATTACGGCTGCTAATATCCCCTGATCTCTTTAGGAAACAGTTCTGGGTTCCCAAATTACAGAAAAGCGCTGCAGCCTCGTGTGTTGGTCACTTGTAGGTAATAGATTTTAGCGTTCAAGAGCGAAAACTTTAAAGGAATCGCTACAGTTTTTGGTTTATTTTCCTTCCTGCTGGGAGATTAGAAGACTGCTATCGTGTGGAAACTGCAAAGCTGCAGCCAGCAGACGTTTAGCTTAGCACGGAGTAAAGGCTGGAATCAGGGAGAAGCAGCTTGATCTGTCCAAATGCTGCAAAATCTGTATGTGTTGCTTTTACGCCTCACTTTTTTTTTTTTTTCATCTGTTTGTGGCCTCGGCGCTAAGCTAAGCTAACAGTCAGTCATAATAATCACAGCCATGTGACTGGTATCAATCTTCTCATCGAACCCTCTGCAAGAAAGCAAAAATAAGCACATTCCACCAACTGTCAAACTATTCCTTTAAATCATTTGTGACTGGATAATTATCAAAAGCGCGGAGTGGCCTACTGTATGTTCTCCATCTGCAGAGGATGACAGCATGTTAGACAGCTCATTACTGAAGCAGTTGGAGATTTCACTCTTACTAGGCACAGTATGGTACAGCCACGGTTTTAAGCCTCAGCTTAATACGTTGTCATGGAAATCAACAGTAACACATTGGACACTTTTCACTTGTGTCGAGTCCAGCGTTGGCTTGTGTCTGGATCGCACATGGACATAAGAGTAAATACGCGAATCAGTCTAGCTTACACAGGCGCTGCTGCAAATGAACCCCCGGCCCCAAAACGCCAACTTTTCACAAACCCCGAGCAGACAGATGTGTTTTCAGACGGACGAGGAACACATTTCGGAGCTCAGCTGATTGATTTGCAGGAGATGAAATCATCCGAAGCGAAGGAATAATTATCTGTGCAACTTTCTTGTAATCTCTAAACAGCATTTAGAAGTTGTTGGTGGTGATTTTATATATTTTAATTAATGGCTTATTTACCAAACTACGAACTGAAACAACATTTGCTTCATGAAAAATCTTTTTGCTTGCTGTTTGGTTGGTAATAAGTAAATAAAATCGTAATTTTCCAACAAACTTACTGAATGCACTTCCTGGCAAAGCATATGCGAATCTCATTCTTGTATATATTTGAAATTGTGCGCTACTTACATGCCGGTTTGCTCCCTTTTCTTCCTTGCAGATTTCAGCGTGTCTTAGCAAATCACATCAGTGGAATCATGTCAAATCCAGCCAGTATCCAGTATGTGCGGCGCTCCTCCTCTTGTTTGCATACACTTGTTCTAATGTGTGTGTGATATACAAACGAAACCGAGGCCCGCATACTGAAAAAATAGAGTTAGTGTTCAAAAACTCCAGCTCTAATTAAAGCCACACAAGTATTAGCAACAACTATAAATATCTGGTGTTTTTTTTATAGAATGTAAAAGCTTAAATCGTCAAAATAAACAGTTGCAGGTTAAAATGAGAAATGCAGTGAAGCAGAAGTCTGCAGTAGCATAAAGTGGAAACGCTCAAGCAAAGAATGATTCTAAAATTGTACTCGAGTAAATGTGCAGTTGCATTCCACCACTGGAAAGTAACTGTGTGGTGACGGTGCAGTGAAGTGCTCACTGGTTTCCTCTCTTTCTCTGTTCTTGCAAACTTGGCGTTATAAAGAAACAAGGTGGTGATTTTCCTTTTTTTCTGGCAGGGCTTTAAGTGTGAAGTTATAAATGTTCGATCAAAACTTATAATCCAGTCAAGTCAGTAGCTTGAATCCTCTGTTCCCGAAGTTAAGTGGCCATTCAAAGACAAAAACAAGACTTTTTTCTTAACTTGGCAACCCCAGAGTTGTTGTGCATTGATGACTATGAACCGACTATTCATTGAAAACGGTGCCTTATCAAAATCCAAATCCCTTAAACCCACGTAGAACCGTATGACCCCCCTCAGCTCGAAAAGAAAAAAAAATAAAAAATTGCACCGAATATGGAATTATAAGGTTTTCACATGATAGTAGTCGCGCACATAAACACCCACACGGTTAGATTTGTGAAAGAGCTGTGATTGAAGCTGCGGCTAAATTAAGAGGAAAGAGAGATTAGAAGCTTAAAGGAAATCAAGCCAAGGCTGTTGCTCTCATTTGGATGTTTGAAATTAGACTGAATACTGAATAAATCTAAGGTGCCATACTTCTGAGAGCATCATTCCCACCAGTTATGCAAATGAGCCTTCAAAATTTACACAATAATCAGATGATGCGCCGAGTTTGAGCGTGCTTATTTTATCGGTTTAACGGAGAGAGGAGCACAGTGTCTTCCAAAAAAAAAGGGAAAAAAAAAAAAAAAGAGCTGATTTATGGTCGACGGCCTCTTGACTGTCGTAAAATTGTAGAGTCACAATGAAATGGGTGTGATCCTCCACTTGGTGCTTCCTTCCTTCCAGTCCAAGGGTCTGGGCCTAATAAAGGCCTGTGTGGTGCGGCACAGACGGACCGCCTTTCTGCTGTGTGGAGAAATGTGTTCAATCACCATGGCTACCGGTCAGAGAAGAGCCCCCGCTGTGGTTATTAGGATTTTCTCTGTCTGCTCCCACCGGCTCAGTATGCAGGTTAACAACTCGCTGTCTGTATTACGGGCGAGGATGTGTGTGTGTGTGTGTGTTCAGGAGGCCTGTGGGTCAAGGGTGATTTAATATTGTAATCGCCCCTACAGAGAGCTGGACTTTTTTTTTTCTTTTCCCCTCAGCATCATCTCCAGAAAACACCCAAAAATGGTTCAACTGCCGGACTCCGCCGCCTCCCAACAGTAGCACCGATGTGAGAAGGGGGAACATGAGAAAAGCTTTGAGCAGTATTGATTCAGCCGAGTACTCTCGGAGCGAGTACCAGAGGATCTGAAGAGAGAATTATCCATGCACCATTTCCTCCCTTACTCCTGTGTGGAAAATTCTGCAGTTCCAGCTTTCTGGTAGCCTACATACAGAAGAAAACACACACAGACTCTCAGGGCCTTATGCACAGTCTTGCACAAGGAAAGTCATGCACACACACACAAGTGTTGAGGTTTGATGTTGCAAAATAACAGTTGTTTGATTTATTTATAGTCACTCCCTTCCATCTGAATAGCCGAGCGTAGTTTTTTCATCAAATTAATCTTAAAATAGGACTACAAAGAGATGCTGCAACGGTGTCAATTTAAGGATTTTTTTTTTCTTTTCTGTATGCTACATCATTTTTCCTATAGGAAACTACATTTATGGGGTTATTACAGTGATCCCAGAGCCTACATTAAGTGCGGTGAGGTCATTAGAAACACTAATAGCTACCACAGACTTGGTTAAGTGCTCCAATTTGACTGTGAGTCCATATGAGCAGATTATCGGAAGCCATATAAACTGGAGGGAGGGTAAGTCCACCAATGAAATCTGAATTTTTGGAGACACAGGGCATTGTCTGCATATGCCGCTTTGCCCTGAGTATCCTCCTCCCTCCTCCTCCTCCCTCCTCCTCTACTCCCCACCCGGTTTCTCCTGAATAATACACGACAGACCCCTCTCTCCACCTCCTCCTTTTCCTCCTCCTCCTCCTCCCAGAAGCGCCCTCGTCCAATGGCAGCCGCGCGTTTTTATCAAGCTATCTCCTCCGAGCCAATCCCCGTCCTCCCAGTGATCCCTGTGCACCGGATCCCCTCCCTGCCGCCCCTCAAACAGACGTAATCTGTGGATCAGAGAGGCAGGCGCTCAGTCGGTGTGGAGTTGGACTCGGATGGAGGTGATGCGAGTGAAAAAAAAAAATACTCACCAAGAGCCAAGAGCAGGAGGAAAACCGCATCAGTCCGCCTCGACAGGACACTGAAATCCTGCTGTTAAAAAAAAAAGAGAAAAAAAAAAACACAAAAAAAACCAAAAGCAGGGCGTGGAGGAAAAATCGTGTAAGTATGTCATCATGTCAAATGCAGAAACTGAAATGTGGAGGCAGTGATTTGTTGTGAACTGATGCTTTGTAGTTAGAAGGTGATGCTTCTTTATTTGATTCTTTACTGAGAAGGAAAAATGCAGAAAGTGTGAATGCTGTGATGTTTTTTTTCTCTCTTTTGCGCATGGACTCAACGTGAAACTCTGTAATGTGCTCGGCGCTCCGCACTAGTCAGGCGGCTTCTCGTGTCTAAAAATCAGCGCATGTGAATTTGCTCTACATGCCAGTTATTTAAGGGCATCCGTACGACTCGAGGACAAAACGTGATTTGTGGTTTTGTCCGAAATTTGAAGCCGCTTTTTTTTTGCACGCTTCAACTTTTTTTCCTTTTTTTTTTCTTCAAAGACCGCTTTTGCCTTTACGCGCATCGATGGTACACAGTGTACAGATAAATTGCTGCTTCTCGTTTCTTGGAAAGTTTTGAAAGATACGTGTGAACGACTCGCGGAGCCCAAAGGAATCCTGCTAGGAGGCTCCAAAACAATGTAACTTTGATTCATTTCACTCACCGAGACAGTCTCCTGTTCCTGCTGGGCCCTGAAAGTCGGCGAACACTGATAAATGGTGGCTATTATTTTTCAGCTGAACAATGCGCACCGGCTTTGTGTGGACCATCTGTCATTATATCGACATTACAGCAACCCCTCCTGCCCCGGCGAAGAATCCGAGTGAGACACCTGAAGAGCGGAAAACAGACAGCGATCGTTCAGAGCCGCCACCCCGTCTCTCGCCAAGCCGTGACTCATGATCCGTCTGTGTGGATGGGTGCGTAACGTAGCCAGAAAATAAACAGACACAGGAAGAAACTGATGCAATTAAAACGTTTGATGTTTCGCAAAAAAACGAGATGCCACACAATGCGCGCACGTCTGCTTGTGGTATTTCAGGGATTTGGAATAGGGCAGGGAGCGTAGACGCGTGGCTTTGCGCATCCTGAATTCTCGGAAACAGTCTTTGCGCATCTGACTTCCTACCGGAATTTGGGCCTTCGGCACATGGCAAGAACAGCCAGACTGCCATTTTCAGGGTGGGCACTCTGAGAGGAGGATGCACGCTGACCAAATAAACGCACTTCATCGTGTGCATTGCGCACTCGGTTTTGGCGCACAGTGGCCCAACGTGCCACTCAGCTTTTACCCTGCAGGTAGTTTAATGCAGCTGAGACACGCTTTTTTTCTCCTCTTCTTCTTTTTTTTTTTTTCTTTCTGAAAAATGGAGACTTTCAGAAACTGCCCTGCTTAGTCTCTCGGCGTGCAGTGCCAAGCACTAATATGCCTTAAGGTTAATGAGGCAGTCTCCATAAATTCTTCTGCCATCTGGATGTAGTAGGTCTAGACGCTTAGTGCAGCACTACAGTTTACTGGCTATGGATTGTACACAGCGTGCTCTAATGAAAAAAGTAAATTCGTGGATTTTTTTCTCTCTTTTTGAAAAACAAAACTTACACAATGCTCGCAGCAATTTAACTGCTTTTGCTTTCATTTCCTTTGCGTAAAAGAACGGGACATGTCTGCCTCAGTATACAGCTGTGTGGTGAATCAACAGTCCTGATGGATGCTGATGTGATCAGCCTTGATGGCCTCACTTCTGTCCCTCACAGGGCTGAGTTTCATATAATTCACTTTAGCTTTGTCCCTCATGAAGATTAGGGGAAAAAAAGCACAAAAAAAAGAAGAAGAAGCAGCAGCAGACCACTCCTGCTCCATCACATTAAAGAACAGCGAATATCTGAGCGCATATCTGTTTAATTCAGTTTCCAGTTGCTCTCAGAGAGTTATCAGGGGCCGAGATGAGTGAACAGAGCAAAGCCAGTGTCTCCCTGCTCCTGTAATGTGGACACAGAGGTGGTTGGATGTTGGTTTCTCTTATCTCCTGCTGGAACTATGATCATCATTCCTGTGTAGCTCATTATCACATATGATGAGTTTCATCAGCTGCACCCTGCAATTATGTCGAGAAGCAACCTGCTATCACAGCGGAGAGGCTCTCAGCCGCGGATCGCTGTTGTTCCTTCATTACATGGCATCGCCCTCGCAACAGAACGCACACAACAATTCAAATTAAAAACTAATGTTGCTACAGTTTGTCTTTGTCAGTGAAGCTGTAATGTTAGCATCAGGGAGTCCCATCTCGCATCTCGGCGCCATCAGCAGCTCTGTGCTCGCTGCCATCGTGCTTTTCAATTATAATGCAATATTCAGACACTTTTAATTTATGAACCGCGTAACATGTTGTTGCAGAAGAAGAGTTTTACAGGATTGTTTGTGCAGAGTGAGACTTTGATGGTGTGTTGTAATCTGATCACAGCTCTTTAGCAGGAACATTTGCATTATGTTGCATCTGAAGGAGTTCACATCAGCAGGAACGTGTGTTCGTCATGTGTGCGTGTTTGTGCTTCCCTGTGTGTGCGATTGCAGCGATGGGTAAATGGAGAGGTTAGGTAATGGAGACCCCTGCCCCCTGCCTCAGGCATTGCGACATACTGCCTATCTAGATGAGTGGATGACCTCTGACCTCTTGTCTGGCCAAGGGCTCAGGTCTGCTCGGGTCAAGCCAGGTGGCTTTTGAGAGCCTGTTGGCTCGATCAGAAGCACATGACATTTGAACTCGTTCCACTTCAGGAACAAATGCAGCCTTTCAGTTAATTAAGAAACTCTCACAGCCTATGTGAGACTGTGTGTGTTACAGGTAAGGTTACGGAACAGAAAGCACTGATTAGAAACTCTGGAAAACTTGTTAAACTCTGAACGCCTTCCCTGTGGAATAATCTGATATTGGCCGTCCTTTATGCTTAACAAAGTCTGGCATCTTTTTTTTTTTTCCTAACTGTCTGATGCTTCAGCTACTTTTATCTGGAGGTTCAAAGTAAAAATTTAGCAATGCAGATATGAAAAACAACAGATATTCCCTTGAGTTGTCAAAACCAGATACAGGTCTGCCATTACGCTTCACGCTCAGCTCCTGTTGGAGACGTTACAGCTGTTGTGTTGCTGCTTTTATCAGAAAGTTACAGCGAGACACAAACTAGTCCCGATCTTGTTACAGCTGAGAGAAAACAGCCCGTCTCGATTCTGTCACAACATGCTCTCTATTGTATCACTGTGCAAGAAACTCCCAATGGAAATTTTGGAATCTTTCCCATTGTTCCTAAAGGAAAGGGGGCTTTCATATGGAAGTGGGGAACGCCAGGAAATGACAGGCATTCTTTGTGGACTATTTGAAAATAAACTTGTGGGTCCTCGCTTTTTCCTCTCGACAGTTAAGCAAAAAAACTAGAAATTAGAAGAGAGGATTATGGTCTTAACAATTCCTCAGTGGCATTTTTTCACTTTCTTATGTTTCCTGCTGCAATTTGTCCCCAAAGTATATTTTCTTATTCAGCGTACTGGAGGCACGCCATCAGAGTTTCGGCTAAAGAGCTTTTGTCGGGAGCTTTTCACTCTTTTCTCTACAGTTTCTTGAATGGCTGCATTCTTATTTTGCTCCTTATTTGTCCTTATTTTGCCTTATCTTCCCTCCCCTGGCTTTAAACACAACCCCGCTGCTCCGGCTCTGCTTTATGAGGTGTGACAGTGAGGTCTGGTTGCTGAGGCAGGCCGTGTGGACTGGAACGTAAAGCTTTACATTCAGCTGGCTGCAGTCGGGTTCGGGGAGGACTTAAACTCACTTCACCCCTATACAGTACCTCGTATACAGGAACTGGCTTCATTCTGCTGAGCTGGCATGAAAGTGCAGAATTGGAAGGAGGGAAGAAAAAAGAAAAAGAAAAAAAAAAAAAAAAAGACCTGCTGTCTTTAACCTCAGAGGTCTTAGCTCAACACATACAGTTGCTACTCTTAATAAGGAGGAAGGAGCCGTGAATGAAAACTGTGAGAAAATGAAAAACAGGTGCTGATTCGTTAAGTTTGAAATCACAGAAGTTGTTTTTTTTATGTCAACAAGTTCTTCACGTGTGGTTCTGCTGCACCAGGTGTTCGTAGTTGTACAACTTTGTCGTCCTTTTGACATTTAATAACAGGTTTTATTCACCAGGATGTGCTTTCTACACTGGTCAATACTTCAGATTAACACTCACACCTTATCCCCCCCAACTCGTCTCTTTCTGTCTCTCTTCCTCCTCCTCCTCCTCCTCCTCTTGTTGTTTTTCCCACCAGGCCAGTGGTAGTTCCCAGGTATTTGACCAGTGTAGCGTAGCCGGGAGGCTGGTTGTTCTGTCCTCTGTGAGACAAAGGCAGCGTGCCTCAAGGAGACGGATGAAAGGAAACGGGGCTGTGCAGCCACTCCTTTTTACAATGGGAAACCTCCTTAGTGAGGCTGTAGAGCAAATAACCACCTTCTCTCTTCCTTTTTTTAACAAGCACCGACTCTGTGAGAGTGTGTCTCGATTCTTTTTGTAGTAGGAAGAGCGGCGTTGTGTACATAGATGTGAGTTGGTGTGTGTGTGCGTGCGGAGAGGAAGGGGTATCCTTTATGTCTACATAGAACGTTTTTTTGAGCGTTCTCTTCCTTACACCTGTTTAGTCTGAGCTGACAGATGGCGCTCCTCTTGTTAAAGATGTTTCCTATGTTGAGGTTGTTGTGGTTTTACAGAGGGACCGAAATTTCAGGAGACAAAGCAAAAAAAAACCAAAATCTTTTGTTGAGGCAAATGTTAGCGGAGCGGTCCGCTTTTTTCAGGATGAGTACTAAAATTACTAATTGATATAATATTTAAATATGTTAGTAAAATCAGCACAATTTAAGATAATTCAGTATTAAAAAAGTAACCCGAAGCAACTTAATCGTAGCTGCAAAGTGTACTTTAGTCGTAGGTAAACACATTTATTCTTCATCAATATGCTTGATGCACATATATTATAAATCCTGTATGGGATTGAAGTGGCACTGAGCCTGACTCTTTAGTGCATATACAGTTGCATAATGTAAGAAGTGCCTTTTGTTTTATGATCAGATCATGGTAATAGTTTACAAATCTTGAAAAAAAGTGCACTTTTTTTTTCTCTTTTAATGTAACTGATGATAATTATAAATCACCACAAAAGTCTTTAAAAACACATCAGTGCACACTACGTGAGTCAAAGTGTTTTGCTTCTTTCCAACTCATTTTCAGTTGCACAGTGATGATTGATTTGTGCGCCACTCATTACCAATATTACACCACATTACTGCATGCTTACAAATGAGTTTAATTATGCACATACACTTGCGTTTCCTGCGTCTCTGCTGCGTATCCGTGTCGGCTCGAACCCACCGGTGCTCCGTCTAGTGTTATCATCTCGGGTGGTAGTCAGGGGGAGGGAGCGGAAGCCGCAGGAGTCTTTTATGGCTCCAGCTCCAGAGACAACCTGTTCTCAGGCACTTCTCTTCTGGCACTTTTTTATGACATCATAAATTCCTCCATTTCCTCTGACCAGCCCTAGGTGGGTATAAAGGACATACCTGGCCAGTAATTGTCTGTCTGGCCCTCTCATCTGTCAGATTCCTTATACTGCCGGTGACTTCCTCCTGAGCCAGACTCTCAGACTGCCTGGAGATACACAGATCTCTTAGATCTGGACGGTAGCTCAACACAAACAGCAGCTTTATTTGATGACTGATCGGGCGCAGTGCAGTTCTGCTCAGACGTCTTTTACTGCATCTTTCTCGGTCATGCAGGTCAGCGAGGGGAGTCGGCCTGGCACCCACACTGGAGGCTTTTCTGCGTGCATGTGCACTTCAGACCAACAACAACAGGCCACTCTCAAACCTGTTGATACCTTTTGTTTGTTGAAGTCTGAGGATGAAGAGCAGAAAAAGAAAGGATTAGGGGAAGAAAGAGGAGGTTTTTTTGGAGGGGGAGAGGAGCCCTCAAGAACATTCAGCGTTCACATTCATTTGATGCTCAGTCCGGCTGGCCTCAGGGAGGCTGGAACAATACACGCACCAGCATGACAACATTCCTCGAGGTTAAAAAGGTCAGGGGTCACCCAGTGACCCCAACCTGCCAATCAGTCCCAGGGCACTAACTCAGTGCCTTTGTTTTTGCCCTGTGTCTTTGCACTTGTTGAACAGACTCTGCACCTTGTGTTACGATGTGCCCTTTGCTCTCTAATAGACTAGATTGGCATGGAACACTTTTACGCTTTTCTAATGTTGGTTTAGGCGGTGTTGGCTCTGGTACTGATAGTTTTAATATACAATGGGGCATTTATTGTGAGGCTGGAGAATACATTTTCATTTAATTGTTAAAGCTTTGGGGTCCAGAGACAGAAATACGACACAAAAAGAAAAAAGGAGGCAGGAAATAAATTAGCTAGAAGCTTCAAAAAGTGCAAATTGAATTAGAATGCTTGGGCCAGGTTTTCTTGGCAATATACTTTTTAGAGTTATGTCTGTAGCCTATGGCACATACAATAACCCAACCAGATGTTTGGCAAGCTCACATCTATATATGGTAGAAAAAAGAGCCACCACAAAGCAGGCAAACTGTAATTACTGTCCATGTTTTGATTTGATTTATACCCGTTTTATATAATCAGCCCACAAGGGTCAATTATTAGTCCGACAAGGGCACCGGAGGTCCTCAAAGTCGTATTTTTCCTCCCTTATGAAAAAATGCGAGTTCAAGTTTTTTAGTGAACACCACAGCACACTTCAAATACAGGCTGAGGGCCGCCATTAAAGTGGAGCATATGCATGTGTAGGCATGGAGCGGCATGTGAGGCCCCTACAGGCACACTGCAGGTCTGTTAGTCATTACCAGTGAATGTACAGTATACACTGGAGTGGACACGCAGCTACATTAAAGCCTCACCCACGGCCACATCAGACCACCCCAGAGACACACCGCTGGCACTTCCTCCACCCGCCTCCGTCCAAGCTCAGCCTCCAGGAAAGCGTGTTTTGGGATTTCCGGAGGATGCACTGAACATTAATCGTCTGCTGATTAGGAACCTTTCTAGGGAAAAATCGCTGGTCTGATTCCTCGAAGAAGTTTTCTGTTGTTAGCTGTTAAAAAATAAAAAAATCGATATCCAGTTTGTATTTTGCCTCTAACTGTGTTGTGTTTTCTTCCAGGTTTTCTGCCCTCCCGCTGACTTTTGTGACTCATCGTTTCAGCCAGGTATACTTCACAACATCATTAAAACATTCCCATAAAATGCTCATTTCGTTACTGAATGTTTACCATGAGCCGCTTTCTTTTTTGTCCTCCTTCTTGGTGGAATAGCATCGCAGGGAGATGACTATAAACCCCCTGAATTTTATCCTTCCGACTAAATCCGCTTACAGTAGAGGAAGGAGACATTGCTCTCTATTAGTCTGCAGTTAGAAATGAAAGCCTATCTGGCTGCAGCTGTGGAGGAGCTCCAAAGATGGGGACGTTTATTGTCAGGAACAAATAGAGGCCTTTTTATTTTGTCTAGCAGCTGACGCCTCTACCCACCCACTCCTCCAAAACCGCTTTTGTCAGTAATGTAGAGTGGCCTGCTCAGGCAAGAGCGAGAGACCACGAGAGTTTCAAAGCAGAAAGGGAGAAAAAAAAAAAAGGAAAAAAAAAAAAATGAAGTGCAGGGTTTGACGGTGATAGGCTCGGGGAGGAAAAGGCCCGGCTGTTTGCCATATGGTGTAATTATCTGCTATTTCAAAAGATTATCTACCTCCATCAACAGTGTGTTTAAATATATATGTATAGAGACATATATATATGTGTGTGTGAGTGATTTTGATCTCTGGTTTGTAACCCCGGTGTAATGTTGAGATTCTGTGGCCTGCAGCTTGGCCCCCCATTTAAGCTGGGTTAGCTATGATCTCTCCCCCTTTAACCCCAATCCCTCCCCCCCACCCTCTGTGATCACTCCCTCCCTCACACACACACACACACACACACACACACACACGCATATACACGCAGAGTCTCTCCACACAAAAGAAATATTCAGCTGTAGAGAGGGGGTCCCTCAGAGGGCGCGACATTGAACTGGGGGGGATTAAGAAGAAATGGCTGGCTGACACTGGGGTTGCCATGGCAAAGCCCCCTTTTCTCCTCTCCCTCGACCCTCCGCCTATTTTTCATTTTAAGTCTCATTGTGGGGCGAGGTGTAAGTGTGTGTGTTTGTGACTGTGATGGAGTAGGGACGATGTAATATGGCATATGAATTTAGTCTCTTATCCGAAGCTGCTCGGCTTCGCCCTGAGAGAAAAGAGACTTCACGCGCTGCTCAGTCACACGTGTTTCTTATTTTTGCATCACGCAGGCAGTTGACTGTAAACATAACGTTATTTACTGGCCGATGTATTCCTTTCACCGAGGAAAAATATTTGTACGTTTTTGAATATTAATTGAGGAACGTGCGTCACGAGAGACGGCAGAGTCGATAATTCAAACGTCCAGCGTACGCACGAGACAAAAACCAAATTGTCTATTTTATGACTTTCTGAATTATAGCTGCAATAATGTGATGCATTAGTCATCCATTGTAGCCGGCGTGTTATCATGCTAGCCTGATGTTGGCCTCCCAGCCCCGGCAGAGTAATGGATGCAGGTCTCGCTTGCTCAATGACATCAGCACCCTAAGCCGATGAAATGGGGCGATGAATGACCATAGATCAGCGTTTACCATCCTGACGTCAGCCCCTGGCCTGCGCAGCGGCGCGGTGACACTGTCGGTGGTTGTTCCCCAGCTTTGGCCTGCTCTTGACAATGGGAGCTCACAGTCTGTGGCCGGGCGATGAACGGGGCATAAAAAGCATGACTGCACAGTAGGATGCCGGCATTGTTCTCTGGACTAGATGTCCATAAGAACCGTGGCAGACTTGAAGGTGGCTCGGTCATATTGTTCTGAGAAGGTGTCAAACCAGACGAGGTTTTCAGGACTATAGCGTATTTATGTGATTAACGGCTGAGTTCTCACTTACCACATGTGACCATTAGTTCTAACAGTTTTGTTTATTTTGCCCAGATTTTAAGGTATTTGTCTTCGTTTCTACCCCAAAACAATGGAGATGAATGCAATTGCATCTCAGACGCACTGTCACACTTAAGCTGGATAATCCTCAGTTTTCCCTGGAACTACTTTCTACTGAAGAAATCATCCTAATGAACGCTGCCGACAGAATGTTTTGTGGATTATTCAAAGTGGCTAAGTTGTTTCTGGAAAGCTGCGTTGTTATTGAATATTTGAAATGTTATTTTTCAGTGCCGTGGCCACAACAAATTTCATTCGGTACCGCAGAAATCCCAGACGCAGATCTCTTAAAATCTGCACAAGGGAAGCCCAGTTTTTTTTTTTTTTGCTTGTGGCTACACACCACAGGAGGAAATGTGTTTGTTTTTTTTTAATTTTTATAACCGGGGGTGAAATAGCCAATTAAAGACAAAAATACTGTGGAGTATAAGTGCTAATAACTTCCTCTTTATCTGTGTTTCAGATGCTGTTCCGGACCATCTGAAGATGCAAGACTTCCAGTTGGTCTGATTAATGAGGTGGCAGTAATGCAATAAAGCAGATCCGCTCAGCTTATGTTAAAGCCTAAACACACTCTGATGGGTTTTTTTTTGTGTATAACATAACCGGAGCTGTCACTGCCCTGCGGACAGCGGACTCATTCTGCCACTGTCTTGTGTCATCACGTCCCCCTTTTGTTGCGCAACCTGACCTGGTTTGAGCGACGTCCTCGACTCGGTCCAACCCCCCCCTCTTCCTCGCCGTCCCTTAGCTTGTCTCACCGCCTGTCCTCTCCCCTCCTCTGCCTCCCCTCCGCCCCTCTGTCAGCTCGGCTCACGGTCACAGCTGCCGTCCTGCCTGCCTCGGTGAACATTCAACGCTGTCGGTGAGTTTGGTATGGATCACATAAAAACCATCGACCGTTGACTGTGCCCCGTGGCTCGCTCTGGCGACGTCAGGGAAACAACAAAGAAAAAAAAAAAAAAAAAAAACACAAAAGGGCAAGTGGGTGCATGCAAATCCAGAGACGAGAATACATGCATACATGCACAAAAGTGACACTCTGTTTCCACTGTACCCAAAGACCAAAGGTCACAATCAACATTCATTGCTGTCGCTGGGTTGGACTGTGTAGAAAAGCTCACTGAACAATGAGTGCAACTGTGGCCCAGATCTGCCTGACTCGCGTCTCAGCCAATCAGCCGACCGGATGTGAAGCACTCTGATTTCTTTATTTATATACTTCTTGTTTTTCACTTCTATTTTCTCCTCTCTTCCTCCCTCCCCGGTGCTGGGAGTCTTAAGGGGAAGAGAGAGAGAGAGAGAGAGATAGAGACACAAATAGACTTCTGGCTGCTTGCTTGTCCTCATCCTCCTCTCCTCTCCTCTAATTGATGGTTATGTGTGCAGCAAGGGGGAAGGAAGCGGAGTGAATGTGTAATCATTTGGAGTCTCTTCTCCTTTAGATGTTTCATCCCTCTCTTTTTTGTTTGTCTAATTATACACTGAGCTCGGTTAACTCTGTGCTAACTGAGCGTCTGTGCTGGAGGATTGACAGAAAGGGAGGTGGTGGTGGTGGGGAAGGGGGGTAAAGAAGGTTGAATTATCACAAAATTCTTATCTAATTTTTTGGTATATTTTATATAATGTTCTTCCTGCTGGCTGCTGCAAATGTGCGAGCAATTTTCAAATGGATGAAGGAGATTGTTTTCACCTTTCTGAGGATGTCTCATTATCTGTGTTTGAGTTTCATGAGAGACTGTCTGGTTTCCTGTCTACCTCCGTGTGTGTGTGTGTGTGTGTGTGTGTGTGTCTGTGATAGAGGACCTGTCTGCTGATCTCGCAGTGTAATATGTTATTTTCCTTCTATACTAAAGCCTGCGCTCTCTCATGGGAGAAGAGGCAGTCTATAACCTTGTCTTCCTTCACAGTCTGACCGACCACACCGTTGCCATTTCTCATCGTCCCCTTCCTCTAACAACTCTCTCTCTCTCTCTCTCGCTCCTGTCTTCCTAATTCATGGCGTGGTAAACACACACACAGCCTCATGCGGTTGATGTATAATGTGTTTTAGTGAAACAATGCTGCGAGTTTTTTATCGCTGATTCATTAATGAACTCAATAAAGCTGAATCAGAAGCCATTCATTAGCGTCTGATGTGATTATTTGCCGCGCAGATTGACTCATATTTACGGGTGATTCGCTTATTTGCTTCTCTCAGTTGTCTTCATCCCCGTATTTCTAACAGAATGCACTGGCCCCTGTCATTTAGCAACCAAGCCCCATGTCCATGTCCCCCTCTCCCAAGTCTCTCTGTATTATTCATAGAAAAGCACTCTGTGCAGTGGTGCAGAAGAGTGGAGGTGATGTAATAGTGGCTGTGAGCGTGGCTTCAGACTGTCATTTGGGATGGACTCATGCGACAGGAGAAAAAGCTCAGTTTGTTCGGCTTTGTTGGTGTCGCCAACAGCTACAGCTGATGACTGGGGATTAGACACGACGCACATCCCTGATAAAAGTCTCTCTCTCTCTTTTTTTTTTTTTAAAGTTATTTGACACTTTCACTGAAATTAAATTGAGAAAGTTACATCTCAAAGACCTGACATGCGCTCACGAGCCCCGCTGTGTAAATGCTAAAGTGATGAAAGAAGTGAAGGAATAGTGTGGAAATGCAGCTGAAGGTCCCACATCGTGGCGTGAACCGGCACCTGGAGATTAGCGTGCTGTGTGACAAAACATTTTCACTTAGAAATCCCACTGCAACAGCAAAAACTAGTGCCAGGTTTGCTGAAATGTAATTTCACAGCGCTTTGAAGTGACACTACCTCCATCTAGTGTTGAGTTGTTGTTGCTTTTTTTTTTTTTTTTTTTTTTTTAACACAACTTCATTGCGTAATTGGTGTCAAAATCACATAATTGAACAGTTTACGGAAAGCAAACCACAGTAGTCAAGTCTTCCAATTTCACACTATAAACGATATTATTTTAAGATTTTAGCTTATCTTGGTTTTACATAATTAGATTATGCTTTTTTTTTGTCTTTACTTTAAAAATGCTGTGAATCATCTCTTTGCTCACACTTATGTAACCACGGCTTTGGTTTGGTATGTTTCAAGTGCTATATAGATTAAGTTTGACCCACTTGCTTGCACAGGATCTGCCAATTTGGTGAGATTGTAGAACAGAATTCATTCATCACATTATGATTAATCAGAAATATTCATGCACTCAAAGGTGGACAGCTGTGTTTAAGCATTAATGGACCAAACACCCTCCACATGCTGAGAAATGATTGTTACATCTGGCCTGTAAATTCTTCTTCTACTTATCATTATTATTATTATTATTCATATTATTTTCTAGCAATGCTTTCGCTCGCCGTTAATAAGCAGCACTCCAAACAGTTGTCTGAAGACAGCTAATAGGAGAACAATTGATTATTTCTGCGAGGAGTTTACCGAGGCTGTTTCCTGCCGCATCAGGCAGGAAATAAACTTCCTTTTCATACAACCTCAAGCTGCACTGCTCTCTGCTACGTTCTCAGAGAGTAGAGAGAACTTCAAAGTGTATATATTTCAAATTTATCACTGACAAACAGCTCTTTTCCCACGTGAAGTGAATCATCTACAAATCCTGTCCCCTGTTAACAGGATTTAAACGGAGTGAACGTTTCATTTACAGACGGAAAGTTAAACTCCTGATCTGTAATAAACTCCTTTCCTGAGCTAAACGAGAGATGATACAGTTGAAAATGTGTTGAAACTATAAATCCTATTTACAAACATGTATTCTTATCAGTAGGACAAATTAATGTGTATTACATCTGTAAGTGACATTAGAGTGACTTTTTCCATTCTTCTAATGGTTCATCTTTCTCTATTTCATCATTATCACAAAGCTTGAATGTTTCAGAATAATAGTCTCAGCATGCTGCAAGCTTATAAAGAAAGTAAACTTTACTACACGTGTTAGGAAGAAGAGTGTTTTTACAAGAGCCACGCACCAAACAAGTCTATCTATGATTTAATATGACACCACAAAGACCATTAATGAAGCCAGTGATTCTTTTTTTAACAAAACTTTAATACTTTTATGTAAAAAAGACAAACACATGCAATATAAAAATAAGAAAATAATACTATCCAGCGCTCTTACAGTTGAGCTCATATGCACAGCTTAACAACACAGCTTTTACTGACAGCAGTTAAATTGTAGAACAGTGAAGAATCTTTGTTCACAGGCAAAGCTCAAATAGATACAGTTTTTTCTTTGGTAGCTGGAGTCACTTCTTCATCTGCCCTTGTGAGGTCTTGTGAGGTGTTGTGAGGTCTCGTGCACTTTTTGTGCCCTTGTCCTGCAATGACAGTCGATCAAGTTGAGTTACTTCATTTGCTGTTTTGTGCAGGAATCAAAGTATTTTTTGGTTATTATGTTTGGTAAAGATCTCACCTGATATGCGCCACGTATTGGACAGGCCAGTCCCAACCAGGTTTGACGCACGCTTTACCCTTCTTTGTGTGGAGACTATAAATTTAAAAAAAGAAGCAAATCACATCCATTATCTATACACCACTTAATCCTCACTAGGGTCG